GAAATGAACCAGGACTAAACCAGGACTAAAAAAGAACTAAAGCAGAAATGAACCAGGACTAAACTAGGTCTAAACTAGGACTAAACCAGAGCTGAACCAGGACTGAACTTGGAATCTAGGACCGCCCCTGAGAGAACCCTAAGTCTGTGGAACAGGGTGTCTGCGAGGCATGATCAGGCGTCAGCTGCTCTTCGCCCCGTGAATCGTGGAGTTCTGCACCGGTCCTTTCACTCGCGATTACCCGACGGTTTACGCGGGCTCGTTTCGTGTTTCACTGCTGCTGATATCGCGGTAATTTTTACAAATTTGTAAGAACAAAACCCCACCACTTCAATCCAGGTCAAAAAAGCATTGTAATGTGCCGTACTGACATTTGTACCAAGTAAAATATTACAATTTTTTTCCCTGTAATGCCTTACATTACTGCATTACAGCAAAAAGCAACGCATTACAGTAATTCATTACTTTTATAACACATTACTCCCAACACCGCATTTGGACTCTGTCTTGTCGCAGTCTTGAAGGAGCTTGGACTCAGTCTTGTCTCGGTCTCGAAGTCTGACACCCGACGAGTGATAAAATGGAGATAGATTTATAAAACTATTGATATATGTCAAAATAACTGTAAAATGTAAATAAATGTTGAAAATTACAAAGATTGTCTCGGTCTTGTCTCTGTCTCTGCCTTTAAAGGTCTCGGTCTTGTCTCGGTCTTGTCTCGGTCTTGTCTCGATCTCGACCCTCAGAGGTCTTGGTCTTGTCCTGGTCTCGGGACCCTGTGGTCTTGGACAGGTCTCAATTAGTGCAGTCTTGACTACAACACTAGCAGCTTGGCATACTGTATTTTACATGACACATGACGCCCATTCATATTTTGTCTCCCATCTGCACCAGACCCTGTGGCTGGTAGGATGTGGTCCATAAGGATTTTTTCATGCCTTCAGATGTGTACCATATTGAATTCCCCAGAGTGCTTTACACAGTCGGCTAATGACAAATACATATGGGCCCATGGGAGCCCCCTGCCCACCCCCCCATCATCCACCACAACTGAAGCCCCCGCACCGATGCTAAGTGCTAACAGGCCTGTAGCATTCAGTTACATCATACGCACTCATGGGAAAAAAGTGCTTGCGGTACAGATTTGGTGAGCTTTGTCTGCCAAATGGTTGGTTGGAGGGATGAAAAGAAAGGCCCCACCCAAGCTTCCATGTCAAATTCTAGTTCCATGTGTGATTTTGTCGACCGCCGGGTAGTTCTGTCACGGAGGGGTAAAGAAAAATTCAAAGAGGAGGATGAAGAGAGTGAAGGTCTGCACAAGTGACGGTGGCGAGATGTGATGACGTGATTGGACGATTCAGGCTGAGGTTTGAGCAGATGTGTGATGTGGGATTTTGATGGAATATACAGGATAAGAGGAAATATATCTCTTTTTTTTCCAATTAACAACATAGTATAATGAGGTCAAATATAGATACCAGAAATAAGCAACTCGTAGCTTTTTAAAGGGCCCATATTATGCAATTTTCTGATCTGTTATAATGTTGTTTCCTGTTATAATGTTATAATGTAGGTTCCTCATCACAAACAGACCTGAGTTGTGTTTTGTTTCTGTCACACATTTTTAACACAAATTTAGACTGAGTTATTTTCTCAAACTGAAAACACTCCACTTTGTGATGATTATACTAATTATACTATATATAAAATGCTTATTTTGACGCCAAGAGATGCTTAAACAATACATCGGTTCGGGCTCTCGTTTCTATAATGAAGAAATATTTGTATGTGAAAAATATCGAGTTCAAAATCGCCCTTTGACCCTTATTTGTCAGTTCCTGTACTCTGCCTTTGTATCATGAGCCAAAAATAAGGAGTCGTGCAAAGACCAAAGGCAGAAACTGGCATGATCATTATTTGCATGATTTTGTGCAGACTTCCATCCATTATAAGAACACCAGTCATCATGTGTTTGTTTGAAATGATATTGAAGAGTTTTGGATTTCCTGTTTAGTGCTGCTCAGGCTCGTGTCCGTAAACATAACAGAGTACGTCTGTGAAATTTATGGCGAGTTTCACCTTCTGTAAAACGGTCTGGAGGAATGACCAGAGGTAATATTAATCCTGTGCGAACCCTCACTAAAGATGTACGTAATATTCTGTCACATCCTTTTTTAAGAAATAATTTACTGCAGTTTTTGAGCATTTTTGAGCAAAGCCCAAGAGGTCTAAAACAGTCCTCATAGGCATGAAACGTCTGCTTGTTTTAGGTAATGTTTGCTCTATTACTAGTTTCACTGATTATAGGCAATAATTGGCATAGATTAATATTTCACATAGGCTAATCATGACTTCTCTATCTTCAGCTGATGCTTTATGCCCTGCCCCACCAAGATCCTCCACAATCCTGAGACACCTGTTTCTGGGAGACAGCAGTACAGCATTTTGATGATGATGACTGGTGTCTTAATTTCAGAATGCCAAAAACTGTGTTTTATCACCTGTGTGATGACCTCTCCCTGTCATTCGGCCACGAATCACTGACAAGAAAAGTCCTGTACGTCTTGACAAGAGAGTTAGTTTCAACATTGTATAAATTTCAAGCAACTGGAGGTGCCCAAGGCACTTTGCTAAATAAAGAAAAGATACATCACAAGGCCAAGAAATGAGGCAGACATGCAGGCCATCATTGATGGATTTGAAAGAAAATCTGGATTATGAGTAAATACACCAAATACTTTCACATTAAAGATCATCGAAGTGTAATTTAATACTAAGGTATATTTATTTAATGTGTTAAGACCCTGTGCCAAGGCTGAAACAAAAAGGAGGTCAGAGGTTGGATTTTAAAATAAAATAGATTTATGAACTAAACCACAAATGAAACACACACTGTTAATGCCTTTTGTCTTATTTCTGGCTCATAACACAAAGGCAGAGAACAGGAAATGATCAATAAAGTCAAAGAGCAATTTTGAGCTCAATATTTTTCTTGATATTTATTCACATGATAAAGGAGGTCTCAAATACAAACAAAATGTCATGAACAGATTTTTGACTCATTTTTTAACATGATGTTACGGCGTTCTGCCTTTGGAGGGCAGAGGACTGGAACAAATTTTGCTCAAATAAATGGAAAAAAAATCCAGGCTCCTTAAAGGTGCACTCTGTAACTTTGCTGGTGGGAGAGTCCTTCACCTGCTTGTCTACATGGAGATAATATTTTTTCCCAATATGGCATTAGACTTAACCATCTTAATCCATTTAATTAAGTGATTTTTATCTTGAAAACCATGCAACCTTACTGAGAGCATGTTCGCCTCTTCACAGATCTGACGTGCAACTTGGCATTGAAAAAAATCAGATAGAGGACTTTTATACATTGCCGCTGTCAACCTGTGAAGACACCATTCTCAGAGCGGGTTTTTCTCATTGTTTATGATAATATCTGCACATCAACTCGTAGTCCACACAAATTACAGCCAGCAGACGCACTTTGCCTCTTGTGCCCATAATGCTGTCACTGTTTCACTCGACTCGGCTTGACAGATGATTCTGCAGTGGTGATTTTTTACAGTGTGCTGTAAAGAGCTGTACATCTGAGCACAGTTTACGGCCCCTAATGAGAAATGAGTTAGTGCGCTCTGGCTCTGCTTTTTGCCCTTTTTGGTGACATCTATAAAGATCCAACTAATTCAAGTCAATGTAAAGCTGTAAGCACATTTACTGTAGTTAAAAGCAGAGTCTCGTGTGGGTTTTGGGTGATGCCAGATTTGGGTGGTAATACTGATACACCGATATTGATTGAGGTATTGAAAAATATTGATTCTCATACAAAATTATCAATACTGAAAGCAGATCTTTTCTGCAAAATGGACTTTTCAGAGCTTCTCACCATGTTACAGTTGTTTCTCTTTCTCATTTCCCCTCTCGAAGTTGTATTTGTGTCAATCTTAAGTGTCAGTCTTAAAATTACAGCTAGTCACCATTAGCCAAAAGTTTTTTCAGTTAGTTGCTCTCACTTTTTAGCTGAAAATGAAAACATAAACAGGACCTTGAGCGCTCATATTGATCACAGGCTCCTGAAAATGTTTGTGTTGTTTCTTAAGTTTTCAGACAATCTTTAAAATATTTGACAGTGTTTGCTCATGTGTAACATTAGATGTGATCATGGAAAACACCCCCAGCACGATGTCAGTTACAGTCTATCAAAGTGTGTATTCTGGATCCCTGGCAATCATTTTCCAACTATACTGTGCATAAAACAAAACTATTTACTAGAAGGTTACATAAATGTCTATTGAAGCGCACTTGGTACAGAGAGATAAATATGCTCTTACCACTGCCTGACTGCAGAAATGAAAATAAAATGAAATGAAAATGAAAAAGTGTTACCCCTCTCCACTTTTCCTCTGCTGTGTTTAAACATGTGCTCCATTCTCTGTGTCCTCTCTCTGTCTCTGTCTTCTCTATGTCCTCTCTCTGTCTCTGTCTTCTCTGTGTCCTCTCTCTCTCCTCTCTCTGTCTTCTCTGTGTCCTCTCTGTGTCCCCTCTCTGTCTCTGACTTCTCTCTCTCCTGTCTCTGTCTTCTCTGTGTCCTCTCTGTCTTCTCTGTGTCCTCTCTCTGTCTCTGTCTTCTCTGTGTCCTCTCTCTCTCCTCTCTCTGTCTCTGTCTTCTCTGTGTCCTCTCTGTCTTCTCTGTGTCCTCTGTCTGTCTCTGTCTTCTCTGTGCCCTCTCTCTGTCTCTGTCTTCTCTGTGTCCTCTCTCTCTCCTCTCTCTGTCTCTGTCTTCTCTGTGTCCTCTCTGTGTCCCCTCTCTGTCTCTGACTTCTCTCTCTCCTGTCTCTGTCTTCTCTGTGTCCTCTCTATCTTCTCTGTGTCCTCTCTCTCTCTCTGTCTTCTCTGTGTCCTCTCTCTGTCTCTGTCTTCTCTCTGTCCTCTCTCAACTCTCTGTCTTGTTGATGAGTGTTGACTTGGTTGTCCTCTGCTCTGGTCAACAGGAGGTGTTCCACCGGCTTTACCTCATCTACACCGTGGGCTACTCCATCTCTCTGGGGTCACTGATGGTGGCCGTGCTCATCCTGGGATACTTCCGGTCAGTTCTTTTCTGTCACTCACAACACATGAGGTCGAGTGTAGATGGTAGGCGGTGGAACAGAGTGTTAACTGATTTATTCTGGCTCCAAAAATAGATTTCAAATTTAAAATACTGGTTATTTATTTTAATTTATAGCATAAAATGTATTATATTTTATGTAATTAATATAAAAATCATGTCTGAAGGTATGATGATAATTAGTTCTGTGTGGTGCAGTTCTTTACCAGGTATGGAGTGACTGAATAATGCTCTGTAAAGTGTCTTTGTGACATATGTCTGTTCCAGTGGATGCAAAAGTGCCCTTAGGGAGATTGTATGGAACAATAAAATTGTACTTTTTTGTATACATACAAAATTTGGTACACGCATTCCTGGTCTTGATGAAAAAAGTCAATGACACTAACACTCCCATCATGTTGCCATGGCAACAGGCCAAAAATCTGTCGTCACCAATGGGACATCCCAACTAAAACTTTTACTTACTCAAACAAAATTTGGTACACAGATACATCATGGGAATGGGAACAAAAAAGTATATTGTGACCATGCCCCCTCCCAAACCGGATGTCCACCATCTTGGATTTAAAAAGAAGAAAATCAACACATACAGAAATTGAGAAAAATGGTAGGGTTAGGTTAAGGTTAGGATTAGGTTAGAGGTTAGGGCTATGGGTAGGAGTTTAGGACGGGTTAGTGGTTCGTGTAAGGAAGTTAGGGTTAATGTAGGAGTTAGGGCAAGGAGTAACATGCGTTTGTGGGGCACAGCATGTGCAGGGTGTAGCGTGGCCGGGGTGCAGCCTGGCGTGGGCGCAGCATAGGTGCCAGTGAGGACCGATCATTGCCCCTTGCCGCTATATTTATTATTATTATATTTTTGTAATGTAGGACCTTTAAATGTGTGTTATGTAACTTGGTTGGGGGTCCATCACTTGTTTTTTTTTTTTATGGAAATGTCATTGCTCTGCCTTTAATGTTCCACAGTATGACATTAAACAGCTCTACATTTATTCAACTACGGTTGGTTTTATAGCTCAAAAATCCCTAGAAAAACTCACCACAGATCTGACCTGTAACTTGGTCTAGTTTGGACCCCATGAAGATAGAAAGTTTTTAATGCCATACTGTGAATTATTCCAGACAAAGGAATAACATCTAAATTTGACAGACCCTCCACCAGAAAAGTTACACAATGCACTTTTACAGATAGAACTAGGAAGGGCATCTGGCATAAAAATAACATCCTATTGAAGTGTTCTGGAATGAGCTCTTCGATGAAAGACAAAACCGAGTGGTTGTTTGTGAGCCTGTAGTGGGGCTGGCTGTACTTCAGCAGGGTCATGGCAGCCCAATAATATCAAAAGCACCTTTGACTCGACTCTGTGCCTTTTAAGAAGGACTGAGCCTGGAGGCATTCAATACACCAGCATGACATTTCCACTATTTTTACACTCAATGAGAAGCCAAAATATCATCTCAGCCTGTGCTGTGCCATCTGAAATATGGGGAAGCCTTCAGACATAAATAGATACATATTATGGATCTTTTTTTTATAGTTTGGATTTGTAGAAGATTTGGTTGGAGGTCTGTCACCTGCTTGTTTCTATGGAGATGTCATTACTCTAATAAAAACAGCAAAGGAGTTCTACCTATGACACAACAGCTCAGGGATAATCTCATTGTTTTAAGTGAGCATAATATGTGTTCCTTGATAATGACGGGAAAAAAATGGAGGATATAGGTATTTAATTTTTGTCACAAAGTACTGTTGCTACAATACACTTGGTGGTAGAAAAAAAATTCTCATTTACAAGAAAAAGTTGCAGCTTTAATAACAGGACAGATTTTAGTATTAGAAGTATATTTCGACCTGTCACTACCCTAACAGAAGCCTAGACTGAAAAGATGGAATATTACTAGACTAAGAAAAAAAGCTGCCTCCAGGTACTTTGATTTAAAAACACCATTATATCATGTTAAAAGCTCCACATAGCAAAGTGCATAAACTGACTATGTGACAGTTCTTCTTTACAGGCTAATACTAGAGTGCTTTAGCGGGTTGGAAAGGTGAACGCACTGGCATACACTTCCTAAATGCAAACTCTGGATCCTGTTTGGAGGTCAGTCCATATTAAAGTGCTGGGATGAGGAGGCACTGACTCCAGACCAGAGATTGTTTTAAAAAGAGGAGATGCTGTAGATAGTGTAATGCGCCAATAATGCTGTGTCACTTATCAAACTAATTACAAATTATTGATTGAGGAAAGTGGTGCTGTAATGAATCGTTAGCTGCAGTGAGATCTGTTCTATTTGATAAGCTGTAAACACCATACGAGCAAATAGAAAAACTAAATATGTTCGTTTACCTTAAAGAGTCAAGATGGAAAGATACAAACATTTCTAAAGAGAATTTTGATGATTTAAAGTTGACCATTTCAAGTTGTTTATTTGGGTTGGCATGTCACCCATTCATAAAGAGTGTAGAAATTGCCATAATTATTATAAGTATTCGTAGACTGGATGAGAATTAGTCACATTCAAAGTTTATTTTGCTGTTTTTACTACAAAACAAAGCCTAACTTATAATTGACTTTCATTAAGGATTTGCAATTAAGATGGATACAAATATTTGATTACTGTCATATCATTAACCTCGTGGCAAAAACTAAAGGTTCATAGTTCAAATTAAACCATACCGGCTTGTCAAAGCCTAATCTCATCAAATCTCAGACACTCAGCAGGGCTGGATCTGGTTAGTACTTGGATGGGAGGCGCTGACAAAGGAGCCACAGGGGGGCGCCATTCACAAAAACAGTTTTTGTGTCCTTAGGCAAGACATTTCACCCACATTGCCTAGTATGAAAGTGGTGTGTGCGTGAGTGATGGCGGTGGTCAGAGGGACTGATGGTGCCGATTGGCATGGCAGCCACGCTTCAGTCAGTCTGCCCCAGGGCAGCAGTGGAGTGAATGAATAATGATCTGTAAAGCGTCTTTGTGACGAAATGTCTGTGAAAAGCACTATACAAATAAAACTTACAAACTTACTTAAACTTGAAGTACATACTGTTGTTATGTCATTGGGCAAAACACTTTTCTTAAGATTGTGGTGTGTGATGAAAAATGGGAAGTGCTTTGACCAGTGGCAGCTGGTCAATAGGGGCGCAAGAGCACCGCACTCCCTAACTTGACCTAGATAAAAGAAAAAAAAAAGTTATAAAGTCGTTATTTTGTATTAGGCTATATGTTTAATACTTTGTTTAAAATGTAACGTGTATCTGCATAGACATATTTTTTATCATGTTAAATGTGCTCATATCACTTTATTTGAGTCATGTGTTTGGAATTTGAGTGTGGTGAGTCGGAGCGACTTAATGGAGTTACTATGGAAGAGCCTGAAGTTTTGAGAAAATGTGACGTCATTACGTTGCTTCTGCCCATACATTAACCCTAAAATATGTCTTGTGGGCGCAGGGAGCGACATGAAATCCAGTGATTGTTCTGAATAAACATGAACACACATCTTGACCTGTTGTGTTTCAGCTGCTCTGTCACTCAGCCCCGACTCTGCACTGACACATGTTATTGCTACAGGCGCTAATGATGACAACAACAGAACTGTGTGTTGTACAGTTATGGCGAGTTCATACAAGTGCATCTGAGAAATAGTTTTAGGGAGTAAGAACATGAAAAGAAGCATTAAACTGGAATGAGCTGTGGTGAGATACTACGGCTTTTATTCTGATTCACACACTGGCTAATAGCGGCTAGCTGTTAGCTTAAACCTCCACAAAGTAAAGCGCGAGGACAGACCCGCCGCTGGGACCAGGACCCACGCGCCGCCGGAGCCTGTCGCAGCCAGGACCCACTTACTGCCGGGGCCCGGGCTGTTGTTCGCTGCTCTGTCCAGACTGTGTGGGCTCTGTTGTTCACTGGGCGTAGCGCACAGAGGACATAAGTCCACCTGGTGTCCTAGTGTTAATATGGACTGGTGTAACTGTCAGATTTAAGTGGCAAGTGAGATTAAGACAATTTTACAATCAGCTCGTGCACTCGGCTCTTGGACCTCTTGTCACGGACCTGACTGGACCAGGTTTTGGACCAGTTTCATCTCTTCATATTGGACAATACACTTTTGGAGACAGAACCAATGGGACAGTGGATAGAGGAAACACTCTGCTTCAGTCTCTGGAGAAGGTAAGAGGTTTATTTTCATTAGTTTGGGGCAAATCTGAAGATGGAGCCTCACAGGTAAAAAGTGTTATAGTTAAATAGTGTTATAGTTAAATGGTGTTATAGTGTTATAGTGTAATAGTTAAATAGTGTTATAGTTAAATAGTGTAATAGTTAAATAGTGTTATAGTTAAATGGTGTTATAGTTAAATAGTGTTATAGTGAAATAGTGTTATACTTAAATAGTGTTATAGTGTAATAGTTAAATAGTGTTATAGTTAAATAGTGTTATAGTTAGTGCTGTCATGCGATTAAAAAAATTGAGAAATTAATTAATTATGATCTGTAATTAATTAATCTAATTAATCTAATTTTAATCTCACCTAAAAATTGCTGAGAAAAGCCTTCAATTTGAGGTATTTTCATTTAAATTCATTATTACATTATTGTGGCAAATCAAAAGACTGATATAGAACAAAAAAAAGTGACTTTATAAAGTCATTTATTGTTTAACAAATCTCTCCAATTTGGTTGTTGAGCCCAAGTCTCCATGAATAAGAAACTGTTTGCTGTAAAGTAGCAAAGACGAGGAAATCTGAACATAATAACTTTTGTCTACTTAAAGACAATAAAAAGTCCAGTCTTTCCTTAACCATATTAAAAATATTATTGATAGAAAAATGCTTTATATATGACATCACTGGTTTTAGTCCTTGTTTTAGTCCTGGTTTAGACCTGCTTTAGTCCTACTTTAGTCCTGGAATGGATTAATCCTGGTTTTAGTCCTGGTGTTATTTTTGGTTTAGACCTGGTTTAGTCCTGGTTTAGAC